GGTTTATTGGATTGAACCCTGCGTAGTGTGCAGTTGGAATCAATGAACAGCCTGAGGCAAAGTTAAATGTTGCCATCGTAATACGAACTTCTGTGTTACAAGAAGAAGCAGGAAACTTGGGGGTTTAAAACCTCAGTAAACCCTGCAGTCTTATTACAGTGTTGTGTGGTGTGTGTGCAGTCTTATTACGGTGTGTGTTTACAGTGTAGTGGTTTCGTTTCTTACTACTGCCAGCTGCTCCACGGCCCCTCTGCGTACTTAACTAGAAACTGGTTTCCAGACGATGGAAAGTACGGATGTTAGATCCACATGTGCCAGCACAGGTTACTATGGGTGGAGATGGTCCAGTCAGCAGGCGTTTCTTCTCTTCCCATACTGATAGGAAGGTGAGGGCTACTCCGCTCTCAGAGTCTGCTGTTGGTGACAGGGAAGCGTTGGCGAGGCTGTCCCACACACTAAAGCTCCAGCTTTTGCTCTGATTTTTCTGTATCCTTTTCTTGTGTCTCCCAGTCACTGGAGGTACGGCTCCCAGACAGATGCATTGGTCCCTAGCAAGTCCTTTCTGTGAGTGTCAGACTCCACAGCAGACCTATTTTGTTCCCAAGTCTTCTTTGATTGTGGGGCAGCTAGTCTTTCTGCTCACATGAGCACTTGTGTAAATACGAGTGTAGTCAGTTCTGAGTTGGGGGGTAGCTTGGTGATAGACTGTTTGCCAGGCATGAACAAGGCCTTGACTCCAATCTCCAGCACCACCAAGTATGGCAAAAACAAACATGATAGTTGCAAGCCTTCCCATGTGTATTCCGTCTTATCCTTGGTTTTCAGCCCCATGTCCTACTTAGGACACTTACCACACTTAAAAAGTACTGTGTGTTTTTTAGATGTCACAGTGACCAGTGTGATCCTGGCATGCCGCATATTTAGGATGAAAAACTGAAGGAGACATTTATCTTTGGAGTCTTCCAAAGGCCGAAGCAGACGCTGGCTAAGACGAAAGCTGACCTTCAGTTCTTCTCACATACAGTGTGTAACTTGGTAAAGTACAGAGGACACAGCAGGCAGCTTCTAGAAGATGAAGTGCAGATGAGGAGCAAACGCCAGAAGAGGTAGATCTCGGTCAGCATCAGGTCAGACACAAAGCCATCAAGGACAGGCACTTTTTTTCCTATTAGAATGGGAAAAAATAGTAATTAGTAATAGCTGGTAGGAATGTTTCAGAAAGAGTACATTTTCTTCCTCTCATTGAAAGGCACTCGGACAATGTTTGCTCAAAGCTTAAAATGTTCACCCTCTGGTCCCCAGTGTGTCTTGGGCATGCCCGCCCTCCCGGGATCCTCCAGATTGGAACAGCAGCTCTTTTGTATTTCTTTGTCTGTTTGGTTCAGTTCCATTTGGAGTTTCGTGTCTTTGAGCAATCTGTCTCTGAAGCCCAGGGTGGCCTTGAATTCATGCTCATCCTGCCTCAGCCGCCTGTGTTCTGGGATCAGAGATATGTGCCACCATGCCTGGCTTATAGTGTTACTTCTCCTGGCAGCGATAATCAAATGTGATCACCGGAGAATGGGAAGCAGTGCTGACAATGGGGAGGAGTGTGTAGGTGGCTAGTAAAGATGGCAAGCGTGACCTGCGGTGCCGCCTGGGAAACACAGCTCCACAGCACCACGACAGAGGAAGGGAGAAGCCACAGAGCATCCATCATGAGATCCCGTCCACTGAGACAGGAAGGGCGTGACATACTTTACTTCATATTTCTTCATGTTAGATTTTATTATGGTGCACATCTATTACCGATGTGGGATTCCCATCTGTATGCTGTGAATATGTTTTATTGCCATTGGTTAATAACGAATCTGCTTTGGGCCTATAGACAGAGCAGAATAGAGCAAGGCAGGAAATCCGAACAGAGATGTAGAGAGAGAATAGGCAGAGTCAAAGAGACGCTTTGTAGCTGCTGAAGAAGACAGACATGCAGGAACCTTGCCGGTGAACCACGAGCCTCATGGTAAAATATAAAATAATAGAAATGGGTTAATTTAAGATATAAGAACTAGCTAGCAATGCGCCTAAGTGACTGGCCAAGCAGTGTTGTAATTAATATAGTTTCTGTGTAATTATTTCGGGTCTGGGCAGCCAGGAAACAAGCAGCCTCCATCTACATATTACTAGTAAGTTTTGCAAAAGCTTTAAACAAACTAGAACCAGGCTAGTTCTGTGCAGGAAGCAAAAGTGAACTCTTTATCAGTCCATCCACACAAAGCCTCCAGAGACTCCGTGGGAACTGAAGAGAGAAGCAGAATGTTGACTGCGTGGGCGAGGGCAACCAGAGAAGCAATGGGCATAGCACTCTAGTAGCCACACGGAGGCACAGTGAAGAAACAAGAAAGAACTGCCACATCACAGGCTCTGACGTGCGGGAAGTCTGCAGAGAGCACAGACTTCCTTTTCTGTGGAGGGCACAGGACAGTCCTAAGCATGTTCCTCACTTTCTGTCTTGTTTGAGACAAGGTCTCACATTGTTCATCACTGTGTGTGCCAGGCTAGCTCTCCACTGTGTGCCAGGCTAGCTCTCCACTGTGTATGCCAGGCTAGCTCTCCACTGTGTATGCCAGGCTAGCTCTCCACTGTGTGCCAGGCTAGCTCTCCACTGTGTATACCAGGCTAGCTCTCCACTCTGTGTGCCAGGCTAGCTCTCCACTGTGTGCCAGGCTAGCTCTCCACTGTGTGCCAGGCTAGCTCTCCACTGTGTATGCCAGGCTAGCTCTCCACTGTGTATACCAGGCTAGCTCTCCACTGTGTGCCAGGCTAGCTCTCCACTGTGTATGCCAGGCTAGCTCTCCACTGTGTACCAGGCTAGCTCTCCACTGTGTGCCAGGCTAGCTCTCCACTGTGTATGCCAGGCTAGCTCTCCACTGTGTGCCAGGCTAGCTCTCCACTGTGTATACCAGGCTAGCTCTCCACTGTGTATACCAGGCTAGCTCTCCACTCTGTGTGCCAGGCTAGCTCTCCACTGTGTATACCAGGCTAGCTCTCCACTCTGTGTGCCAGGCTAGCTCTCCACTATGTGCCAGGCTAGCTCTCCACTGTGTGCCAGGCTAGCTCTCCACTGTGTATGCCAGGCTAGCTCTCCACTGTGTATACCAGGCTAGCTCTCCACTGTGTGCCAGGCTAGCTCTCCACTGTGTATGCCAGGCTAGCTCTCCACTGTGTGCCAGGCTAGCTCTCCACTGTGTGCCAGGCTAGCTCTCCACTGTGTATGCCAGGCTAGCTCTCCACTGTGTGCCAGGCTAGCTCTCCGCTATTGAAAGTAGCTAAATTTCAATTAATCCACTGATAAGTTTTGTATAGAGGAAAAAAACTGATAGATTAAAAAAACAGAGATTAATGATGGTTTGGGAAAATTGTAACTATCTTTTTAAAAAAAAATACAGTAATGAGAGAGAATTTCTATTCAGAGCAGATTGTTCCAGAATCGCTCCTTGAACTACTAAAGCCTGTGAGACCATTCATAGTTAAAGATGAGGAAAAATAACATCCTGACTCCTCTTTAGCCACTTTGACACTGCAGATCTTTGACTCAGTTATCTTGGGTCCTTTCAACCCTCAGACCATTTAACCTCAGGAGCGACTTTATTGGGGCTGAAGAGATGCTCAGGGGTTCAGTTCCTAAAACACTCTCATAGTGGCTCACGACTGTCTGTACATCACTCAGCTGGAGCATCCATGGGATGGACCAAGTATGTCACTAATACAGGTTCTGTAGAACAAAGCGCATGTCCCAAGTCCAGTGTGTCGGGACACTGAGCTTTGCACTGTCAACTGCCGATCCTGGACCATGTCATTAATCCAAGGCAGAGAAATGTGGCACTGGCTGCACTTCTGCCCCCACCCGTGGTACCTGATCTCAACTTAGAGATCACGTTTTCAAGAAGTGCCGTGGCCAGTCTGCACCAGGCCGTGTCTGTGGGTTGTGACTCCTGGCGGGGCTGGCTTGCAGAGGTAGTTTCCATGATGTGAGAGCGAGGAGGAGGGTCACGGAAGAACAGAGCAAGCCCAGAGACTTCTGTGACCCTGCGAATGTCAGGCCCGGCCTCTTCCATGGTCTTGGTTGAGGGGACGGCTAAGCTTGGAGCTGTAAGCTGATCCTCCTGTGGCTTCTGTGAGCCTTGCTAGCTCACGGGCAGGGCTGACCACGGGTGTCTTCCACACACTCTGCTTGTAGTCTAGATGTAGCATTAGCCCTTGCTGCCTTTCCCCTCTTAGTCCCTTTGCGGGTAACTGCCAGGAAAAATCCACATTTTCAACACAAATATAAGGGAAATAAAATTCAAGAGAAAGAAAGAAATTAGAGAATTAGAACAAACTGGGTGGAAAATGGGTGCTCCAGAAAGCTCTTGGTGCTTTGAAATTTGACTTTTTTTTTTCCCAATAAACACAGAGGCCCCTGTCCCACTCCCTGTGGCCAAGGGCAGCCCCCTGGCTCCAGGCCCTCCTCTTTCTCCTTCCTCCCATCAGCCCTGTGAGATCGGTGCAATGAGTTTGTTAAGCTGTTACCAGTATTTCTATAATAATGAACCACATGGACCTTGGTTGGCGGAGGTCTTCTTTCTCCTGTTTTGTTTGAGGTGAGCAGAGCCACCACTCAGGTTCCACTTAGCTGTGCCCATACTGTGGAACAGGAAGGCAGGGCTGAGAGTCACTGCTGTGGTGGTAAGCCCATGTCAAAGCCGCCAACCTGTCTGAGCCACCTCCCAGCAAATCTCCCCTGGACTCTGCAGCCCCCTCCACAACCCAGCTGCACTTCCCCAGGGCACAAGAGCAGGGCAGCTGCCTGGGAAGGCGTGAGGTCAGGGAGAACACGAAATGTGACTTGTCTGCCCTGTGGTGACGCTCCAGTGTGGGCATTAGAGCACCTCCTGCGCCCTAAACTTGGACCACCGTGCAGGGCCCTCTCCTGATGTCACGCTGCTGTGTACTGACTCCTGACTCTGCCTCTCTTACAGCCGACCCTCTGGTGGGCAGCATTGCCACACAGTACATGACCAACAGAGCCGAGCATGACCGGATGGCCAGACAGTGGACCAAGCGGTACGCCACCTAGGGGCCTCCATGTGCCTGCTGTGTGCGAGCACATTCACCAAGTGCATCGATAGCCCGCCTGCCCTCCAGACCTCCGTTCTGTTTCCTGTTTTTATTAAATTTTGAACTGTTTTGTGATGGTATGTCATTTGTCCCTCCTCCTTCCTACCCTCACCCTCCTCCCCTTCTCTCTGGCCCTCTTTTCTCCCTTTTATTCTGTTAACTTGAAAGATTTGGGATTCTCCCCACTGCAGTGTGGATGGGAGCTTCTGTTTTAAGTGCAAACCATGTCAGATCTGTGCTAGTAAGAGCTTTCCTACAAAGCTTTGTATTACTGTGTGGTTTGGGGTTTTTTTGTTGTTGTTGTTTTCTTTTATCTTTTTTTTTTCTTTTATGTGCTCTTCAGAAAAACACACATTCAGAATTATATCTCGTTTCTACTTAAAGGTAGTGCTTAGGGTTAATTTTTTTGTACTGAAGTCTTTATTGGTGGGTGCATGCTACTGGGAACAAGGTTTTGTACAAAAGGTCCAATCAGAATCACTGTGCATCACTGAGACCCTGTTTATCACAAGCCTTCTGTCCCCCACGCAGAAGACTGTTAGACTGAACAAAATAATATGTATTTTGATTTACTTAAGTGCTTGTAAATTTCCTAGGGACCTGCCACTGTTGACTGTGGATCGGTTGATGTACACTTGTATTATTAATGCCTCAATAAATCACTGTGGCGGATCAGTGCCCTTCTGCACCAGCCTTTGCTTTGTGTGCTGTGACCCCGCAGCCGCACACGCACCGAGGCCTGCCCCTCCTCAGTCCTTCAGTTTCCCATCTCCTTCCCTCCAGGAGCTAAGGCTCTTTGTAGTGGAGCTGCTGCTGATTAGCATGTGGATCTCTCCAGCTGCCTGGTGATTTCATGGTCATTTCAGACCCTGGCCCTCCTTCTTTCTGTTAACGCCATCTCCATTCAGCGGTGACAATATGACTGTAATAACAGCCTGCTTGTGAACGTGCGTGCTGAGCCGATGATGGGCCCAGTCGCTTTCAAGTTCATCCTTTTCTGTTTCCTGGTGTAGTTCGCGCTTGCTGTGTGGCCTTCTTTTGTTCTGCTTTTCCCCCCATGATTCTGGCGGCAGCAAACCCTCTGTGTGTGTCACGGTCACACAGTCAACGGCATGCACAGTGGCTCAACATTCAGGGGCTGCAGGAGACAGATGGAGCCGTGATCCGTGCTGGTTTAGCACTGTTATGCAAGTGGTTTTCAGGTTCTTCTACTGGAACTTCTACCAATCGGCACACTGCACTCACTAACACCTTTACAGCTAAGTGATATAATTTATGAAGCCATATAGGCCTGACTACTTCACACTTTAAATGTCTGTCATAAAAGATGCTGATTTTGCTAGTCTTAAGTGGTTAAGATTTCTTGAGAAATTTAAATATTTGAAATGATAATTTTTAAAACCTATTTTATGCATATGGGTGTTTTACCTGCATGCGTGTCAGTGTACCTAGTAGATGAAGTGCCCAGGGAGGCCAGAGGAGGATTTCCGGTCCCCCGGAGCTGGTTGTGAGCTGCCAGGTGGTTGCTGGGAATTGCAGCTGGGCCATCTAGAAAAGTAGCCCGTGCTCTCAGCTGCTGAGATCTCTTCAGCGCTTTGAAATATGTTTAAAGCAAAGCACCCATGGGTGTCTTTTAAGATGTATTTCTGTTTGTGTGCATGTGTGTTGTCTGTGTGTGTGTGTGTGTGTGTGTGTGTGTGTGTGTGTGTGTGTGCCCCCCAAGGCCAGAAGGTGCCAGAGCCCCTGGAGTCACAGTCCCTAGTATGGGAACAGCAGCAAGCCCTCCAATGGCTCAACTCCATCTCCGATCCTTTCTTTCTCTTTTTCGTAATGACTCGAGCATACGTTATCTAAAAGCCTGCCCCAGAATCCCAGAACTGTGTGATCTCTGCTGAATTTTGTCACTTCTGTAACTAGCAAAAGGGGCCACAGAGGGCTCACCAGCTCCAACAGTCCTCTGCCCAGCAGCAATACCCACATATGGCTCATGGCTTTGCCAGCCCCTGACACAGGCCAGGTCACAGGACTAGGCCAAGTGCTGTGTCAGCTCTTTCTTCACGATAAAGCACTTAGAATTGGCGCGCTGCATCCCCGGCACCCGGCCGCCCACATGGCTAGCTCTAGCTTATGCCCCGAAATAATTACACGGAAACTGTATTCTTTTAAACACCGCTTGGCCCATTATATCTAGCCTTTTCTCGGCTAACTCTCACACCTGGACTAGCCCATTTCTAATAATGTATGTAGCCCACGAGCTGGCTTACCAGGAATGATCTTAACCTGCGTCTGCCTGGAGTGGGAGAATCATGGCGACTCCTTGACTCAGCTTCTTTCTCCCAGCATTCTGTTCTGTTTACTCCACCCACCTATGTTTTAACCTATGAGGGCCAAGCAGTTTCTTTATTGCTTAACCAATGAAATCAACAGATTGATATATAACACTCCCACATCACTACAAGAATAATCCTTTTTTTCAGTTGCCAAGAAAGATTTATTGCTCTACAAACTCTCCATGCAGGTTTATTTTTACTTTAGATTTAAAAACTCAGGCATAAAAACACCGAGCTTCTGTAAATTTTGTTTTATTGAGTTTTTGGAGTGATTACAGTGGACTGTGCTATGGCTTGCACAGACAGTGCACTGAGAATGTCAGCTCCATTTGACACATATTTTAATAATACATTAACACAGCACTCCCATTCCCTACCTGCCCTGACTCACGTTACTTCACAATGCATGGTGAAGCTGCTGAAATGGCTCAGTGCTTAGTACCACACAGGACATGGGTTCTGTTCCTAAAACCTTCATGCAGCGCATAACTGACTATAACTCCAACCCCAGCGGACCCAGCTCCCCGTCTTTCAACTTCTGTAGAGACCCAATGCCACACACACAAGCAAATAAAAACTAATAATTTTTAAAGAAAAAATGTTGCCAAGCAGTGGTGGTGCACGCTTTTAATCCCAGCACTCGGGAGGCAGAGGCAGGCAGATCTCTTTGAGTTCGAGGCCAGCCTGGTCAACAAGAGTTAGTTCCAGGACAGCCAGGGCTACAGAGAAACCTTGTCTCAAAAAAAAAAGAAAAGGAAAGGAAAGGAAAGGAAAGAAAAAGAAAGGAAAGAAAAGGAAAGGAAGGAAGGAAGAAAGAAAAGAAAGAGAAAGGAGAAGAAGAGAATGTTATTTCAGAGGTAGAAATTGAGACAGTTCTCATAGGAAATCCTGTCCCAAGTCTGTTTGCTTGTCTAGAAACCATTTTGGGGTTTATGCCAATCAGATATGAAGAGACTGTAAAATACATCTTTGTGAGCTCTAAATACTTCATGTCAAACACATCTACTTTGCTCTCAACATGTGAAAGCTAGGGAGACTCCAGAGATAGCCACACACTCTTAGGAGATCCCCTTGAGTCCGAACTCCAGATAACAGGGTAATGTAGTCACAGTAGGTGAAGCAATCCCAGGAGGCATTGTGAACTGTTTATAAAATGACTTTGGAGGGCGTTTGGCACCCAAAGTACTAGATAGTCTTGATGACAAATACAGATGTTATATCTCAAAAATGTAAGCACGGTTTTGTTCCGTAAGTCTGTGAAACTTTCCAGACTACCAGCAGTTGTTTGTGTTAAATTTAAATATTGGCAGATCCTCAGTCACTGACAAAGTAGTCTGAGGTGTTTATTGATCCTAAATCATTCAGAAGATTGTGGCCTTAATGTGTGGACAAACAAAATCCACAGAGTGGTCTTCGTCTGTCCTGTGGAAGCCATTGAGGTACAATTGCAGAAATAGTTCATCTTGAAATCTGTGGATTAGACCCGGCCACTCACACATGCCAGGCAAGCACCCTACCACCGAGTCCCATCCTGGTCTTAGGTTCCGTCCCTGTGATAAAACACCATGATCAAAAGCAACCTGGAGAGGAAAGAGTTCATCTCCTCGCACAGCTCACAGCCCATCCTGAAGGGACGTCAGCACAGGAACTACAGGCTGGAGCTGAAGCAAAGGTCATGGAGGAACACCACTCACTGCCTTGGTCCCCTGGCTCCCTCAGTTTGCTTTCTTACACATCCCAGCCCTGCTCTTCCAGGGGTAGCACTGCCCACAGTGAGCGGGGCCATCCACATCAATCATCCATCAAGGAAAGGGAATCTTCATTAGACCCTCCCCTCAGGGTTCTCTCCTACAGAAGAGGAGACGGATTGGAAGAGCCAGAAGGCATGGGTGGCACCAAGGAAACAGTATCTTCCAGACACAATAGGACTGGCATACATAGGAACTCGCCGAGACTGTGTAAGAAGGCCTGAACAGGTTCTAGCCGGATGGGGTCCCAGCACTGGAAGGGAGAAGTGGACATGAGCCCTATCCCTAACCAAGAAGTTATCTCCAAGTGTCCAATGCTTCCAAAGGAGTCTCACTGAGTGGATTCCCTATATACCCAGCAGGGGATGGTCAACACAAAAACAGAGATTTGCTGTCTCATATTTCCTTAGACATTTTTTAATCTTACTATTCTTTTTCTTGTGTATTGTGTTCCAATTGTGTGTGTGTGTGTGTGTGTGTGTGTGTGTGTGTGTGTGTTGTACTTTTTCCTTGTTTTTGTTTTGTTCAATTCCGGCTTGTTTATTGGTTGGTTTTATTTGCTGTTTGATTTCTGAAGAAAGGAGGAGAAAGGCATAGAGTTGGACAGGCGGGAGGAGATTGGGGAGAGGAAACCATGAAGAGAGTATATTGTATGAAGAGAGTATATTGTATGAAGAGATGTATTTTTCAATCAAAATAAGGTTGTAGGCCAATCTTATGGAGGTATTTTCTCAGTTGAGGTCCCCTCTTCTCAGATGGCACCAGCCAATATTAGGTTGACAGCAACAACAAAAGCAACCAGGACAGCCCCCGGGCCTTTTGTACTTTCTGCTTTAAGACAGGGATTTGCTAAACTGCCCAGCATTCTGATTCTAAGCACATGCGTCCTGGCTCAGTTCCTAACCCTAAAGTCAGGTGAGGGGATTAAGCCAGCTGCAATGTCTTTCATATTGCAAACATGGCTGAAGCTGTGTGTGCTTTTTGTGAATGAGGAACTCAAAG